TTAAGGACTACGATATCACTATTTTGTACCATCCGGGGAAGGCCAATGTGGTGGCCGATGCTTTGAGTCGCCGGGTAGAGAGTTTAGGGAGCTTAGCATACCTTCCAGTAGCAAAGAGACCTTTGGCATTGGATGTTCATGCCTTAGCGGGCCAGCTTGTGAGATTGGATATTTCGGAGCCTAGTCGGGTATTGGCTCGTGTGGTCTCCAGGTCTTCTCTTTATGACTGTATCAGGGGCGTCAGTATGATGACCCTTACTTTCTCGTTCTTTAGGATAGGGTTCATAGAGGTGATACTAGGGATGTGACTATTGGCAGCGACGGTGTGTTGAGGATGCATGGCCGGATATGTATGCCTAATGTAGATGGGCTTCTGGAGTTGATTCTTGAGGAGGCCCATAGCTCGCGGTACTCCATCCATCTGGGTGCCGCAAAGATGTACCAGAATTTGAGGCAACACTATTGGTGGAGGCGGATGAAGAAAGATATAGTTGGGTTTGTGGCTCGGTGTCTCAACTGTCAGCAGGTTAAGTATGAGCATCATAGGCCGGGTGGCTTGCTTCATAAGTTAGAGATCCTAGAGTGGATGTGGGAGCGGATCATCATGTACTTCGTAGTTGGACTTCCACGGACTTCTAGGAAGTTCGATGCTATTTGGGTTATTGTGGATCGGCTGACCAAGTCCGCGCACTTCGTTCCTAGTGGTACTACTTATACTTCAGAGCGGTTGGCTGAGATTTATATTCGAGAGATTGTTCGCATGCATGGTGTCCCAGTTTCCATCATTTCGATTAGAGGTACTCAGTTCACATCGCAGTTTTGGAGGGACGTGCAACGAGAGTTGGGTACTCAGGTTGAGTTGAGCATATATTTTCACCCTCAGACGGACGGGCAGTCCGAGCGCACTATTTAGATATTGGAGGACATGTTGCGTGCTTGTGTCATTGACTTTGGGGGTTCATGGGACCAGTTTCTACCACTCGCGGAGTTTGCATATAACAACAGTTATCAGTCGAGTATTCAGATGGCTCCGTACGACGCTTTATATGGGAGGAGGTGTAGATCTCCGGTAGGATGGGTTGAGCCATGTGAGGCTAGGCTCTTAGGTACAGACTTGGTCCAAGATGCATTAGATAAGGTGAAATAGATTCAGGAGCGGCTTCGCACGGCGCAGTCTAGGCAGAAGAGCTACGCGGACAGGAAGGTCCGTGATGTGTCTTTTATGAATGGGGAGAAGGTTTTGCTGAAGGTATCACCCATGAAGGGTGTTATGAGGTTTGGGAAGAGGGGCAAGTTGAGCCCCCGGTTCATTGGGCCTTTTGAGGTGATTCAGAGGATAGGGGAGTTGGCTTATAAGCTTGCCTTGCCACCCAGCTTGTCGAGTGTGCATCCAGTGTTTCATGTTTCCATGCTCCGGAAGTATGTTGGTGATACCGTCCCATGTTTTGGACTTTAGCACGGTTCAGTTGGAGGGTGATATGACTTATGATGTGGAGCCAGTGGCCATTTTGGATCGGCAAATTCGGAAGTTGAGGTCAAAGGATATAGCTTCGGTGAAGGTGCAGTGGAGAGGCCAGCCTGTGGAGGAGGCCACCTGGGAGACCGAGTGGGAGATGCGGAGTAGATATCCACGCCTATTCGAGACTCCAGGTATGTTTCTAGACCTGTTCGAGGACGAACGGTTGTTTAAGAGGGGGAGGATGTAACGACTCAGTCGGTCATTTCGAGAGTTATATCCCTGTTTTTCCCATTTCTACTTCTTTTTGTGTTATTCAACTATATTAAGTTATATCAGGTTAGTTGGTTCGGTACCGGAGTGGTTTCAGAGTGAATTGAGACACTTAGTCTCTTAAGTAGAAACTTAAGTTGGAAAAGTCAACCGGACGTTGATTTATGTGTAAACTACCTCGAATTTGAATTTTTATGGTTCCTTTATCTCCGTTAGGTGATTTTGGACTTAGGAGTTTCTCAGGAATGTGATTTAGAGGTCCGTGGTAGAATTAGGCTTGAATTGGCGAAATTGGAAATTTGGCGATTTCAGTCGGCAATGGCAAATTTGATATCGGAGTCGGAATAGAATTCCGGAAGTTGGAGTAGGTTTGTAGTGTCATTTGTGATGTGTGTGCAAACATTTGAGGTCATTCGGACGTAGTTTGGTAGGTTTCGGTGTCGGTTGTGGAATTTGGAAGTTTAGAAGTTCTTAGGCTTGAATCCGGGGGTAATTTGGTGTTTTGATGTTGTTTTTAGTTATTCGAAGGTTCGGCCAAGTTTGTATGAGGTTTTAGGATTGGTTGGTATGTTTGGTTGAGGTCTTGAGGGCCTCGGGTGAGTTTCAGATAGTTTTGGACTTTGCAAAATGGCTGATCAGCTGGTATGAACTTTCTGGTTTCCTTATACGCGATCGCGTGGGTAGGTCCGCGGTCGCGTAGGCTTATTTGGGGGCAGAGGTGAGTTGTTCTATGCGATCACAGGGTTTGGGACATGATCGCGTGCGTGTGTGAAGTTGTGCTTCGCGAACGCATGGATAGTGTCGCGTTCGCGTAGAGGTATCGAGTTGGTGAAGAGGCGAGGTGATTGCTCTACGCCATTGCGTGAGTTAGGATGTGATCGCATAGGTTTGGGAAGCAGTGATACGTGTTCGCGTGGGAAATTCCGCGTTCGCATAGAGTAAATATGTGGAGCAGCCTGTTTGTGCTTCACAATCACGAGGATATTTCCGTGATCGCGATTAAATAAAAATTTAGGCAGTAGTGTTAAATTCCAAAATCGAGGGTTTGAACCCATTTTTCATATTTTGAGCTAGAAATCACGGATTTAGGCGATTTTTGGAGGGATTTTCAGGGAGTTGATTGGGGTAAGTTCTTCTCACTTGATTTTGGTTAAATTCCATGATTATGCCTTTAACTTCATCCTCTAATTTGTGATTTGGGGAGAAACAATTGGAAAAAATGAGGAAGAATTCTTGAGTTGGATTTTGGGGGTTTTGAATGGGATTTTGTTATCGGATTTGAGTAAATTTGATATGGTTAGACTAGTGAGTGAATGGGCTATTTAGTTTTGTAAATTTTGTCGGATTTCGAGATGTGGTCCCGGGGGACCGGGTTTGAGCCAATTTCGGGTTTTAAGTCTAATTTGGAATTTTTCTTGTGGAATGGATTCCTTTAGCCTATATTGATCGTATTAAATTGCTTGTGGCTAGATTCTGGACGTTTGGAGGCCGATTTGAGAGGAAAAGGGTATTACGGAGTAGATATTTGCTCGAATTGAGGTATGTAATGATTGTAAATCTAGTCCTGAGGGTATGAAACCCCGAATTTCGTATCATTCTACTATTTTGAGGTGACGCACATGCTAGGTGACGGGCGTATGGGCATGCACTGTTGGGGATTGTGACTTGGTCCATCCCGTAGCATCTGTAAAGTTGCATATTTTGTTGAAACTATATGATACTTATATGTTTAGAAAGAGTTTCTGTAAATTGGGCTGAATGCCATGTTTGGCCCTTGTGCCAATGCTGTTTGGACCCTGAAGGGCCTTTTCTTACTATCCTCTCACTGTTTTCGATTGAAAATTTATACTCAGTCATGGTTATACTTGTTTATTGCATAACTCAGTTTAATTACTCTATTTTGATGCATATAAATGTTGTTTTGGGCCGAATACCCTATTTTTACTGAAATGCCCGAGTGGCTTGAGAGGTGTATGACTGAGTGAGGCCGAAGGCCTGATTTGTGAGGATATTTATGGGATCGGGCTTCACGCCGCAACATGTTTGATATAGGCCGAGGGCCTGAGTGATTTATGCCATGATTTGGCTTGATATAGCGCTTGGGCTGAAGGAGCCCCTCCGGAGTTTATACACACACCCAGTAAGCGCAGGTACCTACTGAGTGCGAGTGCCGAGTGTCGAGTGATTGTGAGGCATGAGTGATTGTGAGGTATGCCCGAGTGACAAGAGTGATTGTGAGGTATGCCCGAGTGGCACGAGTGACTGTGAGGTTTTTCCGAGGGGCTGTATATGAGTGATGCTTTGCCCGAGGGGCTGTTTATGATTTCATTATTTTTGCTCACCTGTGAATTTTTTCTCTGTTTGAAAACTGTTGAAAAATATCTTTAAAAGTTTTTTACTGGAACTGGGTTTAAACGAGATGTTTTGATTCAAATCCTGATTTTAAAAGAATGTGGAATTTTATTGAGATTTCATGATATGAACGTTATATGCTTTATTGCTCGTCACTACTGCTCAGTCTTTATTTATTATTGTTACTTATTGAGTTGGTGTACTCACGTTATTCCCTGCACCTTGTGTGCAGATCCAGGTGTAGCTGGACACGGTAGCGGTTGTTGATTATTCTGGTTGCAGATTTTTCTCGGAGATAGCAAGGTAGCTTCTTGGCGATCACATCCCCTGCTCTTCTCCCTCTTATCTTCTTTTAGTTGTATTTAGCTATTTTCCAAGATGAGTTAGTTTTGATATTGTTAGACAGATTGTAGTAGATGCCCATGACTAGTGACACCCTGATGTCAGGCTTTTCTTTTACGCACTTTTGTTTTGATTTGAACTCCTTTACGAAGGTTTTTACGCTAAATAGCCTTGAAATTTTACTTGAAATAAAAATATCGGTTGGTTTTGGAATGAGTCGACTTGCCTAGTACTACGATAGGCGTCATCACAATATGTTAGGTATTTGGGTCGTGACACTAAATAAGTTTTATCTACAAAATATATATATTTATTTAAACTACAATCCTTTCTGCAGTAGCTTTCCTTTTTTAGACGCTAGATTTTTGAATCGCGTAGGATTCTTCAAAGATTTTACTGAGGCAATCATCGCACATTAATCAAGACAATGTATTTGTAGAATTCTGCTATTACGTCGATTTTCTCTGATTATCATCACACCATAATCAAGTTCTATTCTCTGATTTTCCATAAGCGAAGGTTTTGAAAAACAAAATTGCAAACAATTATCTACAGTTGTATTGAATTTCGTGACATAATGTCAACATTACCGATTATGCTTCAGCTAAATGGTCACTGGGATAGCATTGAGATATGCAAGGATTTTAATGTTGATGGAATTGTAGTCAACGAGGATTCAAATTATAGTCAATTAAATTCTGCAATTACAGAGCATCTAATGATTGATACCTCCGCAAAAATCATCGAAATCAAATACACTGTCAACGAACGTTGTCCTCCAATGAAAATTCGAAATGATATGGGAGTTCGAGTATACATGGAGACGAAAAAGGAAAATAGAAGCTTAGGAATGTATCCCCTGTGTATAACAGTGCGTGATTTCGATTTGGAATGCAGTATCTCGAATTCGAGCACAATTGTAAGTTTGCTCTATTTTTTTAGTGGTGATGTTTAGTCAGTTTCATGTGTTCTACAATTTTTCTACAACATATCTACAATGATACTACATATCAAATGTAGTTCAACTGTTATATCTATTGAAGTAGTCAATTTCACATGTTCTACAATTTTACTACTACCTATCTACAATGTAGGTCTGAATGGTAGATACTTTTAATTGAGTGCAAGTTCATCTGATTATCGTATGTCTAACGTGGTTCATTTGTCAAGAAAATGTAACAAAATTGGAGAAGTATCAGGAACAGTGAAGTTGATAGGCCAACAACTCCGGCGATTGTGGAATATGAAAGTATCATCATAACAGAACATACGCCAAATGTTATTGAAGTAGGCCAAGTCTACTAAGACAAGCAAACAATTGTCAGTGCAATGAAGCACTATTCTGTCATGAATAAGTTTCAATTTAGGGTGAAAAGGTCTAGCGCAAGAAGGTAGAAACAGTTCAATTGTGAAATTCATATTTTTGTTTAATTTGTAGTTTTTTTGTTTTTTTTTGTTGTATAATTTGTAGTTTCTTTGTATATGAATTTTATATGATTTGTAGTTTTTTGTTATATAAATTGTATATAAATTATTTAATATAAGATTTTTGTGCTTAAGCAGCCTCTTATTTTGTAGCTACATTTTTCATCACATTTTTTAAATTGTTTTTATTCTGTAGCTACTGCCTCGTATGTGTTGGGGACAATTGTACATGGCACTTCAAGTTCACATTTTTTAAATAGTTTTTAAATGCTCTTTGATGGACAATACATACATACAACACAAACCTACTGCCATTGTAGTTGGTAGCATGGTTATACCAAAATATGCTGATCCTAAGACAATATACACACCAAAAGACATAAAAACCGATATGTTATCGGAACATGGTGTGAACTTAACATACATGCAAGCTTAGAGAGCAAAGGAAAAAGATTTGAAATTTTTGAGAGGTCATCTTGTTGATTCCTACAGTCGCTTGCCAAGTTATTTGTATATTCTAGAGAAGACTTATCCGAGGTCGGTAGTTAAATTGCAGAAGGCTGAAGATAACTGTTTCTTGTACGCATTTGTTGAACTTAGTACGTCTATCAAGGGTTGGGAGTATTGTAGGCTAGTTGTAGTAGTTGATGGCACCTTCTTGAGGTCGGCATATATGGGAATAATGTTAACAGCTAGCACAATGGATGCAACAAGTATTGTAGATTAATTGTAGAAATATTGTTATAAAGTTATTTTTCAGTATGTATTTTTTACACTCTCAAGTTTTATTACAGAAATTGAATTTCTTTTTTTTACATGTGTGATAGGTAGCATATTACCACTGGCATACGCTGTTGTTGATTCAGAAAATGACACATCATGGATGTGGTTTTTTGAGAAATTCAAACATGCGTATGGTGAAAAACCAAATATGTGTGTTGTTTTGGACCGGAATGAGAGTATCTTGAATGCAACATCTACTGTTTATACCAGCATGCCACATTATGCTTGCATGTGGCATATTTGGACAAATGTAAGGTCAAAGTTCAAGAAAGGTCATCTAAAGTTAAGCAAATTGTACTTTGCCACGGCACGACCATATACGCTTGATGAATTTAATGAAAGAATGTCACAGATTGAAGTGATCGACACGTGTTTTAAAGCATACCTATATGATATTGGCTATCACAGATGGTCTCGGGTACATGCTACGGTGAACAGAACATGGACGATGACATCAAATATTGCAGATTCATTGAATGCGGTAACAAAAGATGCAAGAGAACTGCCCGTAGTAGAACTATTAGAGTACATGAGGGCTCTTCTTGAACATTGGACTAATGAAAAGTTATTGAAAGCAAAGGGTACGTTCACATACCTTGGAAAAAAAATACAACAAAGAGTTGGAGGACAACAGGACATTATCGCAGAAGATGAGAGTAAGCTATAGCCAGTAACATCAGACCATTGATTCCATCAAACTAAATATATACTATTAATTATAGATAAAGTGTTGTATAATTGTAGTCATTTTGTATATGTTGCTGATAACTTGTTATGTATTTGTAATAAAATTGTAAGTGAGGGCTTCCACATATCACATCCATACTGTGATAGATGGTGTGAAGCGCTTCATTGTTTGCCTTCAAAACAAAAGATGTAGTTGTGGACAATTCCAGCTTGATGTACTTCCTTGTGCACAAGCTTTGGCGGCTTTGAGGCACAGGAACGAGTCTTATGAAAACTATTGTTCTCCTTATTACACGAGGGAGAGCCTTTTGCATACTTATGAAATACCAGTAGACCCGCTGCCTGACGAAAGCAAATGGAATGTGCCACAACATATAATTGAAGAAGTTGTAATGCCACCTACGGGAAAAGACAGTCAGGGAGACCTCAAAAATAAAGATACAATCCATATGATGAAGTAAATGCAAAGAAGTACAAGGTTTCATGTGGCAACTACGGACTAGAAGGGCATAACAAAAGATCTTGTAAGAATGCTCCCAAAAAGAAAATAAAAATTAATACAGTCACAAGATTTGTTTTTCCTGAGTACTGTTGAAGATAATCTGTAGTTTAAGATATGAAGTTGTATTTGTTCTGTTCTGGAGAATTATAGTTGAGATGTAATTGTGTTGCTAATTTGAATAAAGACTGTCTCCTATAATGAAATATTTTCAACTCTTGATGCAATTGGTTTGTAGTTGTTTTGTTCAATTACTGGGTTTATTTATTTCAGCTTTTCCTAACAACACTGCTTAAAATTGAATGGATTATGTATTTTTTTAAATTAGTTGTAGACATAATTGTAGTTAAACTGTAAAAAAAAATTATATTCTAACAATATTGAGATCAAGTTCTAACAACTTTCAACCCAAAAAACCACAGATGTTTTCTATTCTAAGTAGGAGAATTTTGGACAAAATAACATAACAAAAAGTAAAATAATTGTAGCACAAATCTGCTACAAATAAATTGCAGCTGACTTGTTCTTAGTTAACAATTTGTCTACAACTTTACTACAAATCAGCTACAACTAAATAATTTAACTATAATTTTTCTATAGAAAAGGGCAACTAATTCTTCTTTTTTCGGACTTGTGCTCTCTCGTTCACAGCTGGTGCACCTTTTCTTCTTGTTAATCTGCCAGTCACCTCACTTCACTAATTGCACCAAGCTCTTGCTTTTTTCTAGCATAATCCCAAAGTAGCACTCCATAGCGTCTATGGTGTTGATCAATATCAGAAAGGTCTTCCTTTGAAATTGCTAGCTCTCCAATGCTGACATATTCTGAACATGCCGCCAAGTGTACACCACAGTCACTGCAAAAAAAAAATTAGGGGAAAAGAGTTAGCATTCATTGTAAAATAAAATTTGTTAAATAGATAGAAGGAAAATCAGCTTTTTCATACAGTGATCCCTCTTTTTGTTGGGGTATCTCACCGACCAACCACTGAATATCAAGAGGGTCAGTAACACCTATTTCAATGTATGCGTTTGTGTTCTTGTAGTTGATGTCTAGACGCTTGCCATAGAAGACGGTGCATGACAAGTGGAGGGGGATCATAACAGCAAACTTGTTGACAACAGATTCAACAAGGTTGTGATTTCGTGAAGAGACCATAGAATCATAAACATATAGAACCCTCTCGGTAATGTCAAACACAGCCAACAACCAATAAAATTTCTCTACAATGTTTATGGGCATAATCACAAAATCAACTTTATCCCATATAACATTTGCAAGTAACTTGTACCCCAATATGTATTTTGATACGACGTCCTGGGGTTTGACAACAGCAAGCTTCTTATCGGCAGGAGCATTAATGTACCTCTGATAAATTTTTTCAATTCTAGTCTTGAACATACAGTCAATGGTAGTAAACCATATTTTGTTTTGAGGACCATACTTTCCTCTCTTCCTAAAATAGTATAAAATAACATCAATATGCTGCAAAAAACAGATTTCATTATTTGTAAATTCTTCATACAATTTAACTATAATTTTTAAACAAAAAAACTACAGACTTCTTAAATTACAGAATACTACATCTAATCATTAAATTCTGTTAGGGTATGTGTTTATCGTGTCATTGACGACTTGCTCGCGATGTGCCAAAGTATAAAACCACTCCTTTTTATTAACTTTCTCCACTCCAAGATCATACCACGACTTGAGTTGGTTATCTTTTAAAGAGTAAGGTGCCTTTCTCCTATTTAAACACATAGCAATTACAATTAATATGTTGTTTCAACTGGAAATCCAAAAATTGAATGCACTCCAAAATATGAAAAAATTATATAATCTAACCTCTTTGAAACCGTATCGATACCGAAGTATAACCACTTATTGAATTCTTCTAATAAGTTAGGATCAACATCGTCGCCAATAACCCCAGTAAATGGATGCTTGATGAGGAAAATTGGAAGTCCAACAGAAGTGCTTCCCCCAGAACTGTAAAAAGGGAGAAAGGGGGATCTGGCATGCCTTCCAGGCTGCCTTGTTCTTCCTTGATGCACGGGGGTTATTTCATCTTCATTAAGCTCGCCGAACTTAACAATCTGGGAGAAGTTCTCTGGCAGATCAAAATCATCAAGTGTTACTTCTTTTTTTTTTCAGACCTGGAGTCATTGTCCGAATCACCTACATTAATGTAGTCGGCTGTTTCACCTTCAAAATTTAAAATAAAAGAACAACATTGTATGTTGTATCAGTTCTTTTTGAAAAATTGAAAATTATATAAAACCTGTTTTCTTTTCCTACAATTATATTGTAACATATAATACTACTGAAATCTTCACAGCAATCGTCTCCTTGTTGTATAACGTTTTCTTGTTGAATGGGAGATTGCATTTTTGTAGTCTCCTTCTCCTCATTTAAATGCTCTCCTGGAATGCCAATTTTAGCATCCTGTTTTGGAGAGTCCACATGCATAGTTTCCTTCTCTGTTACAATAAATGTGTACAACTTAATAAAATTGTAGATAATTTATAGTAAACATTAACAACACTGTAGATAAATTATAGTTTAATTGTAGTAAATTTGTAGAAATATTGTCCTGCAGCTGATATGCAAAATGTATTGTGAAATATGATGATAAATGTACTAAATCATACTTACATTTTCTTCATCCAATGCCCCTTGAAATTGGGAAGATAAGTCAACACCTACAGGAACATTCTCCTCAATTTGAATGTCATTCATGTGTCCTGTATCTAAGAAAACCATTGGAAATATAATGTAGATTATTTGTTGGTAATTTAGGCGATATGTAGATATATTGTAGATATAATGTAGATATAATGTTAATATAATGTAGATACTTGTTTTACTCTTGCTGGCCAATACTGGTTTAGCACTACTGCCCGAAATGTGTTGATTGTTCTTTTTCTTTGTAATGCTCATCATTTTTTGTAGAATTGCCAGTAAATTGCAAGTATAATTTGTTAGGCTATATACTTTATGAATGATAATAGAAACTTACACATGGTAAAAATTATTGTCCAAAATGAATATATTTCGAATGAAACCTTAGCATCAATATTATCCTTTTGACTGTTTATTGCCTGTAAAACAGACTTAATGGAATCATTGAGTAGCACTCGAATGCTACCTAGTTCTTCAAAAACCTAAAGAACAAAAAATAGTTATAATGTATCTTATATATATATATATATATATATATATATGTTACCTTATCAACATCTTTTCTTAATTTTTTTATTTGTTTCACAATATCTTGCTTGTCATCTATTCCCATTGCCTGCTTATGTCCGGATGGAGATGGAGCATCTATCGGATGCTTGGTCTTTGGTTCAGCTTCTTCAAGGATGTATTCAACTTTATCTGGCAAATTTATTCTTGAAAGCTCTCCTGGTGCTTCAATTATGTTGGTGAACAGAGTGAAAAAATAAATGTGAGGGACTTAGTCATAATATGTATAAAATGTGTTGATAATTTGTATTAAATTGTCTGCCCAGAAGTGAAAACCATTTACCTTGATCCATGATGGTTTGATCATTCTACCTTCCAATGTAGATAACCATATCTTGTCCTTACTAACTGTCTAGTTAAGTATGCGGGAGATCGAATTATCAACCCTTGTAGCTATATCCGTGTTGACTGTAGAGCAACACTCATACAACCATATTTGCATAGCTAGTGCAAAACCTCGAATGACATAAAAATGCACAGAAGGGTTGAGCTTGTGCCTAAAGGACTGAAGCAATTGTGTATAAGATTCGATACCTCATGCGTAGTTCGCATACTGCCCCGGGTCCATCAAGTAGAACCTAAAATGGTTTATCAAACCTAAATTATCTTTGTCTGAAGGACAAAGAAAGAATTCTATCAGACAGAGAATACACAGCTTGACTGCATCCTCATCGTTCACCCAACTACGGTTAGTTACAATTTGTTTCAAGTATGACTTCTCAACTTTTTCCTTGTTCGAAAAATAGCTCTTTATTATTTTACTGTCATACTTAGTTGTGCAACCAAAGTTCGTCACTTCTGTAAAACATCTAAGGCCATTGATCAAGGCAAACTTTCTCAACCCAAAGTCCAGCCTCTCACCCTTTATGTCTACTGTAAAAAAGTCGGAACCAGATGCGTTCAATTCATACGTCATGAGAAGGTGAATTGCCTGATTTTGGATACGTATTTTGGGCAAGGAAAGTAAATGCCCAAAACATATCTTCTTAAATAGTTTTAATCCATTTTTAGACAGTAAATCCTTGATTTGGCCAGGAATAGCAGGGTCGGATAATGTCTGGAATCTAGTAATGCCATAATAAATATCATGTGGTGCAAAAAATATTTGATTCTGCACCAAAAGAAATAGCAAGTTAATAAAACTTGTTTTAAAACCAGAAAACGAAATAACTACATTTCTACTATATTTTAGCTACAATCAGAAAAATATTAATACATTGCATACAAGTAAGTTTCAATATTAGTAAACATATATAACAACTAACTACATTGAATCTACAAATGCATTGATAAAATTATGTTTAGAGCAAGAAATTAGAAACTAAGAACTAGACATAATATATACAATTTCTCTACATAAAATGAAACTAACATCTACAAAATAGAGCAAATAATAACTAATAAAATCAACTAAATCATGTAGTACATTCCCTAACTAAATGATTTCGAATAATATACACGAAATCTATAATTTACAAGAAAATATAGCAAATTTGTTAACCTACAACAAATCTACACAATGTAGACAAAATTTCTACAAATACAAAAAAAATAAAAATTATGTATGTTCATGAGAATGAGAACAAGTTTTTTAACTTTAAAAAAAAACAAAATTGGAACTACTAAAATTTTACCTTCTCAAATGACTGTTGGGGTATAGCTTTAGCTGATTTTTGAACCTTCTTCTTTTTTGAAGGTTTAACAGTAGGAGAA